AGGATCACAAAGGTATACCTATGGATGACAATTTAAAATTTATAATGTCACTTTTGAAAGGATTTTTTTAATTATCTCTTAGTATTTCTTTGTGTTAGGAAATACCATTATTCATACTGAGGTTGAAGAAGTGAAGCTAGTCGAGATTTAAGGATATTCCTAATTCAGCATGGAATTGGAAACAAAATTCAGCAGAGTTAACTTGGATTACATGTTCTAACACTAAATCACACTTTGTTACATTGTACAGGCAATCCCAGCAATGTAGAATAGAGCAATGTTTTCTGTTTTTAAATGTTTGGGAAATTCTTTTCTCACAAATTTGAAAAGAGTCAAATGGGTGGCTGAGTTTTTAGAAGGAATGTAGTTATGAATGACCAAAAAAAAAATCTCAGAAAAGTCACATAACAGCAAGAAAAAATAATTTTAATAGCCTGAAGAAAGGAAAACAAGTAATAAGGAGCTGCAGGTATAAGGAATGTTGTGACATACTACAATTATTTTTATTGTTTGGGAATGACAGTGACAAGCAATGGCTTGGAAGTTAAAAAAAAGTTGCCACAAGAGGGAAATTCACTCTTTTTGGGGGAGTTCGTACAGGTTCTGCTGAAGGACTAGTTAGAATATTGTAAGATAGAATAGGATAATTTCAGTTGGAAAGGACCTACAGTGATCATCTAGTCCAACTGCCTGACCGAGAACATGAGAAAACAGAAGGAAATCAGTTATCTTATCTGAGAAAGAGAATGAGTTTTTGAAGGCTGCCATAATCAAGCACTTTGTGTAGCCCTCAGATGTTTTTGTAGCCTTTTTCTGGTGCCCTTCTAACATTGGTATTGAACCACTGGTCAGCAACACTGGAAGCCATATTCCAATATCAGTATAACCAGGGATGTGTGAAAACTAAATTTGGTCCTTAATCTTATTTGCCGTATCCGTTTTTTAATATAAGCACAACAATACAATAAAAGCTTGTATTGCTTATCCATTGTGACCACTAAATATTTTTGTCATTATTTTCCAGTATGTTGTTTCCCCACTGCAGACCGAATAGCTTATTATTTCATGTGTAACTTTACATTTGCTTGTATTAAAATATCCTTGTGAATTAATGAACTTTACTAAACACTCCATGCTACTTTTTATAACGGCCTTTGTCTCTTCATTATTTGATTCCCTTGATCCTAATTCCATCAGCAAATGTTATGACCAGCAATCCTATATTTATTTCTAAAGACCAGTGAAGTTTTCAGTCGTGTCAGACTTGGTAATGATGGCTTAAGAAGTCTCCCTAGCAAGCACCCTTATTGAATTATCAATCTCTGAAAAACTAGTTTTTAATTTTATGTTGTTTAACATTTTCTTTTAAACTGTTCTTATTTGTGTTTTATAATGCCTTTCAAAAGTCGAAACATTTTCACAATTATCTTTGTCAGCTTAACTGGTAACCTCATCAAAAAGTAAAAACAGATTTCTTTGCCAAGATTGGATTTTCAGCAAAAATATTGTGAACTAGTTGTTTATTAGTTTATTTTTATTAGCTTGTCCATTATTTCTTTGGGTTTTCAGTATGGATGCAACAGCAGCAGTCAGCTAGCTTCTCTAAGTCGCCAAATATTCCAATATTCAGTTAGAAATTAATATGCTGAGACTCAGTATCTCTCCAACTCTTTCAGAACTAATGGCCACGTTACCCAGATTTGCTTATGTTAAAAAAAATAAAATCATTATTTTCCAGCTGGCACTTTACACTCACTGAGGGAATCAAAGAAAACCATTTTTATCTGATTGGAGAGCCTCCTTCTTAGTATAGAAGAAATACTGAATATTTCGGTCATTTTAGCACCACTAATAACTGTTTTACTGTCCTTTAGTTAGATACTGCTGCTATTATTAGAATTTCTTTTGTAAAAAAAAGTAAACTTGTCTTTACTGAACACAGATTTTTCTGACCTAACTTTGGCAATTGTCTGTACTCCCATTTTTCTCATTTTTACTGGTTGTCGTGTGCTCTTCCTCAGTTTTTATGGTTTTTGCATGTTTTATTTCTAACTGTCCCTTTCAGCAGTTGTTTTTAATAGATCTGAACAGGGTCTTCATTCAAAAATTCTTTTTAAAATACAGTAAATAAGATTAAAAACCTTATTATTTATTTTTCTCACAAACTTTTTAAAGAAATTCTCAATTTTAACTCAAAAAACTCAGTTTGGGAAAAGAACTCTCTTTAACCATCAAATATAAATATAAGCATTTGTGATTTATTTACCTTTTTAGTCCTTAGTAGTTGACCATGGTGATTGGTCCTGTGCAGCTTCCAATTTGCCATTTGGTTATCAATTTGTCTTTATGTGCTATGCTAAGATGAAACTAGAGATCCTTGATGTTGAATGCAGTACCCACTTACATTAAAAAAAAAAAAAAAAAGAGAGAGAGAAATTATCATCCCTAGCTTCTAAATCTCAAATAATTTACTGTAGACTGCCAGGAGTACTATAGAATGTGTGTCTTCAAATACTGGAGTATTTTTCTTTTTTCCGCTACATTGCAATGAAATGCATAATGAAGGTTGACTTGTTGATCTGTAACGAAACTAAGTGAAAATGTTCCCTTGACCTTTTTCATTATTACAGTGATCCATCTGTATGTGCCCTAGGATTTGAGATTCTGAGCACTGCAAAACAGAGAAACTTTTTTCATTTTTATTAACCGTATTTTACTACTAGACCAGATAATAAACTTGACCCTGTCACTGTCAGTACTTTGAATTAAGATAAATCTTAGAAACTGGGCATGAAGATTTGTTCATTTGTTTTTACGTAGTTTTTATATAGTAAAACTACTTGATCTAGAGTTTAAAAATTCTCCTATTTTCAGAAAATGTAATTACCATCCGTTTAAAAGCAAAAAAAATTAATTCCTACCCTGAGATGTTACAAGCTTTGTTTGTCATTTAACTCAGTAAATTCAGAGCAGTTTAAGAAAGTAGAGGATCAAATCCTCTCTTTCATAGCCCCATGTTTGCATTGTCATTGAAATACTTCATGCAATTCTGGTTGTGTGACTAAGTTACCTTTTTTTGCTTAGTTACAGGGCAGCGCTCTACATTTTGCTGCTGTTGGATCTGTATTCTGACTAGCTGACTGCTGTATTTGTGGTACCACAAGATATGGAAGTTTCATATAATTTAATTCCAGCTCCAGCATATGTCTTGGTGTCTAAATCTTCTTTTTAGATTTATATACATATTATTTATATGAAGGTTTGTCCATTTTTCTATGCTAAAATACCCTTAGAACAAAGATTAACAACTTTCCAGTATGGGAGAGTCCACTCCAGCCACACATGCTGCACTTGCTGCGTATCATCTTCAGCAGCTACAGAGAAACAGAGGTTTTGCAGTAGCCCAGGAAGGTCAAGACTTGAGTAAATTTGGACCCTGCTTCTGATGTTTCTGAAGGGTGTCCCATGGAGAATGCCATCTGAAAGACATCTTTTTCTGATTGTAGAAAGATCACACCTGTTAACCATTCCTTTCATAGGAGGAATGCAGCGAAGGTGCCTTTTTCAGACACAAAAGACTGAAATTATGTGAGACTTGTGAATGCGGGGCAGCCCCAAACCATACAGTGATGTGCAGACAGGCAAATGTTGCCTGTCTTGGGACACTGACAACAGTGTGGTCTCGGGCAAGAAACTCTACTTACCTGAACTGCACCATGCCAGCATACTTCAGAATATATACTGATTTAACAGCAGCTGTGTGTTTATCAAATGAGTAATGCACTTGTAGAAGCTCTGCACTGCATGCAAAATTACTGCAGTGATGTGCAGGAAGCGGATTGTTCTTTGGGTACCGTTTGCTAAGGAGTGATTTTGCCCTCTTTGTAACACATTTCATTTTACCTTTAAGCGTGTACGTCAAATTAAACCTTTAAGATAATAATAGATTAAGGAATCCTCAAGTTTTAAGAAGTTTTTCTGTGTGAGACAGCCTCCTCGACTGTCAGTTTTATGCTGGGGATTAAAATCGTGGAGGTTAGCTGAGTTCTGTGCAGTTCAGAAAGGAAAAGATAGGAATTCTGTTAAGGAGACTCTCATGCTTCCAGGTTAGGGATTTGTTTTACCTTTTAAACATCACCATTGCATTTGTATTTAAGAAAACTTGTCTGTCTTTTGTTTACTCAGTGTGGAATGATAGTCTGAAAATTGTCATCTTTCCATGATCTGTGTGTGAATTCGATTACAAAGCAGATAGTCGACTATTTGGCAAAAGCAACTCTTCAGGCAGTGTATGGGAAGAACTGAATAAGTTCGTTTATGACCTTCCAATGAAACCTGGGCTTAAAACTCTGAGAATTTACTTTTTTACATTAATATATTTTCTCTGGGTTTGTTTTAGTAAGAGGAGGTATGTAATTTATATATTAATTGATAGTTACAGGAGATCCAATTTTGGAGTTGTTGGGTAGGTACAAAGCAGCTGTCGTTGTTGGATATTTCCTCGTGCAGATAGGAGCCAGAAATGTTAAAAAAATGTTGGAATTGAAAAATCATTTGTCTGGGTCTTTTTTTGCTGCCAAATTGAGAAGGTAACATTTGTTAGTGTCACAAATGCACTGTGGTGGTAGTTAAGTTAGGAGAAGGTAGTCATTGTGAACTTTATTCTGAAAAGGACGAACTAAGCTAGTAATTATATTGGGAATTTTTATTTTTAAGTTCATAAGATTTTATTAAAAATACATTTTAGTAATGCTCAATTCTTCGAGAATTTTAACACTTTTAAAGGAACTGCTGTTAAGATTTCTGTGCTTAAAATCTCTTTTCTCCTTGTTTCTAGAACTTGTATGTCACTCAAACACATCTGAGCAAATGAATTATTTTTCTGTTTGTTTAAAAATATTAATATTGTTAGCAAACTACTTCATTATCATGGTGAGTTTAGTACAGCATACACATATCTAATACATGCTTGTGTTAAAGGCATGAGATTGTATATGTAAGGGGGTATGTTTTGCTTAGTACCAAAGACTTATTTTGTTTATGAGTAGTAGGGGATTGGATCTTTAAAAAAAACCAAAGATTAATTTTCATAATTCTCTACATTGCCAGGCTTTACAGGTGCCTGGTTTGTAAACATTTGATTGAACAAAAATAGTCAATAATGGTACTAAATATTTCATTTTAGTCTGGTCTTAAGATATTGTGTCACTTGCATCGAAATTTTTGTATCTGTGGAAGGGGATTAAGTAATGTAAATCTTTGTTACAGAAAATACAAGTTGAAGATTTTTCTTTGGTTTTGCAGCGTTCCTGTTCCAGTAGTCAGTCTAGAGAAAATTCCTAACCTAGTGAAGGCAGATGGTGCCAATGTTAAAATGAATTCTGCAACCACTACCACCATCACCTCCTCCTCAGCCTCTTCATCCACCATACCTGCTCCAACATTGGTTAAATCTGGTTTGACATCCAAGTCAGTGCCACCGTCACCAGAAAAGATTCTGAACGGCAAAGGAATTGTAGCTCCATCAATAGACAAGAAACACCAAAACGGCACTAAAAGCAGTAACAAACCTTACAAAAGACTTTCAGGTGAGTGATGCTGTAGTTCATCTTTTGAGGTAGTCTTTCTCCATTAATATTTCTATAGCTCAGAAATAATGTACTAACAAAATGCTGTAGCCTGGTTTTGGTTTGATTTTTTTACTGTAAGATGCCAGTTTGCATATATGAAAAAGAAAGCTTTCACACTCTTAGCATGTGTAAAATATTTTCAAAGGACACATTCTGTTTAGCTTGAAATTAGTGTGTTTAATGCATTTCTCAACTGGTCAACAGGCCAAATATAAATTTATAAGGAATTAAATTCGTTAAAACAGAAAGGCAGAAGGCTTCCTGCAGCCATTCTGTAATTTGGATCTGTTCACAACAGAAGAAAATGTGCCTTGGTCGGGTGACTTTAGTATAGTTGTGATCAAGTTGAACAGTTGAGGTTTAGGACATTGGATTATCCACCAAGTCATGATTTTTTAAGGAATCTTCTTTCTTGGTTTTAAATACTAGAAAATTCTAAGAAGATATGGGAAATACTGGGGAAGTCTTAAAAGTCATAATTCCTCTCCTCTCCTCTCTCCCTGTGATTCACATGTGAGTGAAGGCATTTGCAGCATGGGGATCTTGATCTTTCTCAGGAAGACAGGACGGTGGGATTGAGGGAGCAACATTAAATGTGGAAATGCCCTGGATGGCGTTAGGCAGGGCAATATTGAGGATGTAGGTCCCTGTGCAATTCTACCACCGAAGCACAGAACGCCCCATCGTGGGAGGGCAGAAGCTCCGTTAGAAAGGTTGCCATCCATTGGGAGGAAGAATTATTTTCCATGGAGTTCCCCAGAGGTGACCCATGCAAGCTGTTGGGCAGCGAGTAGAGCATTTGCCCCCTAAAGCAGAAAACATATTTTTGTTCTGGATGAAAGGAAACAAAGTGTTTTGAGGGAATTTTTTTTTTCTTTCTTTTTTTGTCCCCCCAAAAGCAAAAGTAACTGACTCAAGTTTACGGCTTCAGAAGCTGTGCAGGATCTATTCACGAGCTGGCAGTACTTTGTGAGTTGGGCAGGAACTTCTTGTGTGTACTGAAAGGCTAATTTTGCTAATGGCAGCATGATCCACATTAGTTCGTCAGTTTGGCAGAAAGTTAGTTCGGATGGTTTCTAGATGTGCAGTAGTTATGTACCAAATATAAGTTGTACAAGATAAATGCTTTCATTTCCAGTTAATGTGTGCCCTATTTTTTGACTGAATATCAGGATTAGTTTTTTCATTTTCTCAAATTTGGCAGTTAGCCTATGGTACTGCTACCTTGGCTTGATTCCAGACCAGTGTGAGGTGTTTGCTAGGGCTGTGTGGGGTATGGAACAGCGCCATTGCCTTAAAGGATTCAGCACACTGATTGCTTTCTTAACTAGTTAAAGGTGGCATATAAGAAAACAGAACCGTTGTTCATTTATAGCGTTCCACAAAATGAAAAAATATTACAAGAAAGCAGCTCATTAGGCTTTTAAACCTTACATTTCACTTGCTAAGATACAATTTGTTATTCTAAGAAAAACTCTATATTTTGAAGTTAATTTAAAAGAGTGGTTTCTTTTAACCTATTATTTTCTTTAATGGTCTAGATGCTTGATTTAGCTAACCAGTTCTGAATTCCTACTTGGGCAATTGAAACTGATACTATTTGCGATACTTGTTTTCCTCATGTCACCAAGTACCACTGCAGGGCTGTAGGTCATACTCATACCTTTTTTGTACAAGTGCTTGCTGAAATGTTTTCATAAAAGAGAATCAGTTCTCTAGGGCCTTCCTTCAACTTGCTTGTTTTTTCTGTGGAGTTGTGACTCTATTGCTATTCTGTCTCTAGGCTGTCACTTGCAGTAGCTTCTAGGCTAGGCTACGTTTCACTGGTGGAAATTTCTGCACAGGACTGTCCGAGCGCTCCAATAGATGTTAGTTTACTTTTATATGGTTAACGAATCCACAGAATTCATACTGTTTTTTTACAGCTCCTCTGTCATTATCAGATTTAGAATCTGTTCAGTCTTGCTTCTACTGCCTTGTGTATTGATCCAGCAATGCAATAATTTAGCGGTGATGCAAACAGGAGAAGTCCTGAGAGCACTGTAGATGAATTGCCTGTAGATTGTGTGTCACTATGATGGATTCCTCTCCATTATTATACAGGACTGTGCACAGGCTGAGAAGAAGGTCTTGGAACATCAATTGAACATCAAAAAGATTATTATTTTAGATATCCTATGAATTTCATTCATTTCACTTTAAAAAAATGAGATGCTGGCTAAGGGATTTAGGTTTCTCTCAGTCTGCTGCTGTGGAACTGTACAGCTATTAATTTTTGAAGCTCCTTAATAGGTCTGGCCAGTTTACATCTGTTTTCTCTCCTTTTTAGCAGCCTCCACCCTCTCTCTCAACATTTCCCTGACTGTGGCTGAATTTTGGTTTTATTCTTTGCTGAGAGCTGGTGGTTGGTTGGGTGATGAATGACCCTGCCCTCTTTTCAGGAGCGCTGTCCTTGGTGAGAGAGAGGAAACAGCTTGTGGAACCACAAAAGACAGTCGGTACCTGCCCAGCCTAAGTGGATCAGTGTTCCCAGTAACAAACTGCAAAAAAAACCCTCTTTTTTCCTAAATCTTCCTTAGCTCTTGTTCTCTTTGGGGTTAAGTTAAAGAATGCAGATGCCCAGTTTACACCAAGAATATCTGTTGTGTTGCAAACAGGAGTTTGAGGCAATTCAGTTTTGGCCCTTTCTCTTCTTTCAGTGAGGTTATAATGAACACTCTTTACTTTGTCCACCGAACATAAAGAAGTGGAATCCATTCTGGAGAAACAGCTTTCCCAAGCTGTGCTTGTGCACAGGAGTCTAGGGGTTCTCACGCTACACGTTTCCTTATACAGAGGTAGTCAGAAGCTGCCTTTTGTTGTTGATAAGAAGGTGATAATCTTCATTTAATGTGTTGGCCACACCAGGCATGTCTGTAGCGGGCAATTAGATGTTCATGATTTCTCTGGAATAGCCACACACGCTTCAGCCAGGAGAAGTGGTTCCCTGTTTGTTTAGTGTTTTCTGTTTCTCAGGGAAGGCATGTTATTTTGTTCTTCAGTAGATGGCGGAGGCCTCCACTTTTTCTGACTATAATTCCTTATGTTGATTTGGCCTCTATATGTTTTCCTAATAACTGACTTTGCTATAATCAGTCCTGCAAGTCTTGTTTGGTTGGGACACTCTTACTGACAATCTGCATGCTCCCAAAGGGAGCACTTTTGATTTTTGAAGTACGGTTCCCAGTTGGTCCAAAACAGTCCTTGCTTGGTGACTTTCAGAACATGTTCCACAGCCTTATGATTACCCTCAGGATTTTTCATTTGAAGGCATGTTTATAAGTCCATCTAGTCTATTTGGTTTGGTTTTTGATTTGCATTGAAGGTTTTTGGGCAGGTGATTCAGGAAACTGTGATAGGAACATCATACACTCAAAAACCAGGAGTAATTAACTCCTTTAGTTCATGAACATGCGTTTTCATTCATTAAGTAGAAAAAAATGTCGATTATATTTAGTCATACACAGCTACTTTTCTGTTTCTGTTGTGCTGTAAAGGCCACAGAAACTACAACTACTTGTGATGGATTTCAATCCCTTTGTAGATTTCACCAAAAACACAGTGCCAGCTGTTTTTTTCCAAGCTCACTTTTTGATATGTCTCTGCTAATAGGTCGATAACATGACCATTTAATGTTTGCTGTATCATTTTTAAGTCCATATAGCAGAATACCTAAAACTGCTAGTAATTGTGATATCTTAGAATCATAGAATCATTATGGTTGGAAGAGACCTCAAAGATCATCAAGTCCAACTGTATACCTGATGCCACCATGCCCACTAAACCCACTAAACTATGGCTCGAAGCACCACATCTAAACATTTTTTGAACACCTCCAGGGATGGTGAGTCCACCACCTCCCTGGTGAGCCCGTTCCAATGTGTAACGACTCTAACAGTGAAGAAGTTCTTCCTCATAGCCAACCTGAACCTCCCCTGGTGCAACTTGAGACCGTTTCTTGATGACAGTTGTCATCTAATGTAGGCTACTTGGCCTCACGTTTCTTCTTCCAGCTGTTCTACTTGCTGTGATGCTGTCATAACATTGTAACATAGCTGTGAATTGCTGTCTTCATCTTAGCTCTGATTTGTTCGTTTAGAAAGAATTTTTAGATCCTCAGATTAAATGTTGTATTTGAGTACAGGATGTTTCTTATATCTGAATGCAACACCACTGTATAGTTAAAATAGGCTTTGGCAATATTCCACTATCAAACAAAAGCAAACCAGTATGCCAATTAAAATGCATGATGTCGAAGTATATAAAGATAATGGTGGATTTTTTGGTGACATAAACTAAAAAGTGTATGTCCATAGTTTTGTTACAGCGCTCTAGTGCAAACGCTAAAATTATATGAACGTAACCTAAAGGAGGTGATGCTATCTGTGCTATATAAATACTAAAATATTAATAAAACTGAAATATGCAAATACATCATATTAAATATTAATGAACTTTTAATGTTAATTGTGAGTAGAATTTACGTAAACGTCTTTTTTTCACAATCTCTGTAAAGTTTAAATTCCATGCCTCCCTTTACTTAGGGAAATAAGAACTAACATACATGTTATTTTTACACAGATTTAGGGGTCAGATTTAGATAAATTTTGTTTTTAAAATGCCACTAGTAATCTTGCATTTACTTTTGATACACCACAGGTTGTTTTTCTGAGTTTCTGGGTATGTCAAAGAAATGTTGTTCAAAGCACTTGTGATATTTAGTCTTAGCCAAACTCAGAAGCTAGATTTGCAAATGTTGCATTTCACGTCCTCAGAGGCAACCAGTCTTAGAGGGGGAGTTGAACTCGCGGGTGTTTGGGTTGGTCCTGTGTTTGGGCCACTCTGTCGAGTACAGTTCTGTAAGCAGACTTACTTCTGTGAAGCCTGTGGCTGAAATCCTGCTCTAAATAGTTTGAAACATGTAAGGACAAAAAAATGCACAACTGTATGGGTGATGCATGTGGCACAATTATGGGGTGCTGGGGTTGGGATCAGTGGTTCAGGTTGAGCCTGGTTGAATTAAGTTCTATCAGGCAAAAATTACAGCTGCTCTGGTTAAAATGTCTGTAATAATCTATTTTTTTCTCGTTTTTCTACCCACCACCCCCCCCCCCATCAGAAAGAGAATTTGACCCAAATAAACACTGTGGAGTACTGGATCCTGAAACAAAGAAACCTTGCACAAGATCGCTCACCTGCAAGGTATTTTTCTTAGAAGATAAAATATCAGATGCTTTGTTATAGTTTAAATCCTACCACAGTAGTTTGAGAGGTCATACCTGCTCCTGTCTTACAGACAATGGGTATGGTATTCAGACGCTGTCTTCAGGTAATTCTTTTGAGTAATTCTGTTTCTTTGAATCAGAGCATCTGCATTATTCCACTGATATTTCTAAAAAGATTTTTTTTTCCTTGTCATTTTGTTATGCAAAAAGCATTAATGTTTCATGTAGAAGCACCAGTGTTATTTTAAATGCTCCTTTTTTGGTTCATGTGTGCAACAATGTTGAAGTATAGTCAATTTTTAGCAAAAAATTAACATGATTTTTGTGTAATAAATTACTTGGAGGCTGCCTTTGTGATAGTAATAATTCTCATGTCAAAAAGTAGCAGCAGTGTAAGATATTTATAATGAACATTTGTATGTGTATGTGCTGCCTGTCAGTAGAGATGATCAGTTAAATTTGCTTTAAAATGTATTCACATTTTTCAATCCAATTAAATCAATTTTTCATTGTAAGTTAAGAGCTACAATGATGTTACTACTTAATATTTTAAAATTATGGGAGTTATATTTTCTGTCTTGGAAAAGGTAAGTCAGTAGACTCTATCATATGAAAATTGTTGGGAAAAGTAATTTTAGCCTTGATAGTGGCATTTCTTAAGAATTACTTCATAGATTATCAAAGATAATGTGGAATAACAGCTTTATTTCCATAACTGTGGCTAAAGTTGTTTGAAGTAGATTTTAAGAGTTGTGGTGTGTCAGAAGTATAGAGGACTCATAAACAATGTCATGCACACACAAATGCTTTTTAACCACCCTATTTTTAGACTCATTCACTTAATCATCGACGAGCAGTTCCAGGCCGTAAAAAACAGTTTGACATCCTTCTAGCTGAACACAAAGCTCGATCCAGGGAAAAAGAAGTTGCAAAAGACAAAGAGCATCCACCATCTGCAAGGGAAAGCTATCAGAGCCAGCCCACACCAGCACAAGACTCTCTGTCAGGATCTTCAGTGAACTCTGGGCAAGAATCTAAAGTAACATCTCCTGCAAAATCTAGACCACCAAATTCCGTCCTTCCAAGGTAAGCAGTTCTCCAGTGTGGAATGTTGCATTCTAAAGGTGCTGTAAGAAATGTCTTAGTCTTTCATACAGCTGATTTTATAAGCATTTCATACATCTTTAGGCTATTGCATCAGAAAACATATTAATAGAAGAGTTTCTGCTAGCAGTAAAAGATAGACCCTGCTTATATTTAGCTAAATCTGTCCATGGTAGCCTGTGGTCTGATTGGAAGTGAAGTAAGGAGTGGTGTCCACCCTTGACTCACTCTCAGACTAACAGCACTTTTTTGGCCAGAATGGTCAGTAATAATTAGGGAAGTTTACATTCAAGTCATTCTGGCACATTTGGGAATAAAATTCTAGTTACATGAATTAGGGTAGGTATTAGTGGGGAAATTCTGCACATTTATGTAGAGTTTTTCTCTGCAAATACGTCACCAATTACATCAATGGAATATCTTGTAAAAAAAGGTGTAATTTAGTGTAAATGACAATGTAAGCAGCTAGTTCTTAACGCTATTGATTTGAAACTGTACATAGCATGTCTTTCCTCATTTTGAAGATTTTTCTTAGAAAGGACAAAACCAGTCTTTAGAAAGACAATGCAAACTTCTAAAGACATCCCTGTAGAAAAACTAGTATGAGGTATTGGATCTACTGAATTCCAATTATCCTCTGGTAAACTTCCTATATATGTTTGGTTGTTTTGTTTTGGGTTTTTTAATACTAGTTTTGGCTGGAGTAGATAGAGCTAAACTAGTTGGTCTTGTTCATATTTATTTTGTTTCACGTTTCGTTTCTTTGCAGAAGCCTTAGTGAGGACTGGGTGCCCGTTTTGGGGCTTTTGTACTAAGATAGTCCCTATTTCAAGGAGATATTTGTTGTATTGGCTATCTCAAGTCTTAGAGGCATCCATTTCTAATGTTTTCTGTGTGTTCATCAAGCCATAATGAAGTTTTATTCAGTGGCACAGGTGGGCCTTGTTTGAATGAAAGGACAACAAAAGAATACCCGTAGATAAATTGGTGAGAAGTCTGCATAATTCTTGTAAAAGGAGTGACCTTACACAGTCTTTACATAGAGAAGAGCACAGAGGGACAGGCAGACATTGTTTGTAGTAGGTGTTACAGTTAAAGACGCAAAACTGGAATGCAATTCAGTGAGAGTCAGCTGAAGAAGATTGCAAAGGTAGTGGTACATGAGGAGGAGGATTTTAGCAGACATACGCTGTGTTTGTACAATCTACACTTCAGTTTCTGCTGCAGCGCCTCTGTTCTGTCGTCCTGTCTGTTTTTGCAAGCAGCCGTGCCAGAGGGAAGCCTTGCTACTGCTTTGCTGGGAGCCAACAAGCCTGCAGCATTGCTGCTGGGAGAGGTTATGTGAGTGCTGCCTGCTCTGCTGAGGCAAAGCTTGCTGGTTTCACTGGTGGTGACTTGGCTTGACCTGCCCGACTTTTCCTGAAGGCAAAGGAGCACTTCCACAATCTGTCCCTTGCAACAGCAACTGCAGCAGTTATTTCTAGCTGATGGACATTGGTGAGCAATCCCTGCTCAGTTCAGAAGAGGGCACCTGTCCACAGTCTTAGTGACTGCTGTGTCCTGACAGCATAAATTCATGAAATTGAAGATCATCTTCAGATTTTGCTCAGCATGCACATCTCCCCCTGGGTCAGAGGTCCACATACATATTTGGTTGTACAGACTGTAACTGAGAATCCTTTTCCACTCCCACTTCTCATCTAATTTGTTTGCAAGCTACTTTTGAAAGGCAGGTCACCAGTGTGCTCTGTGGTGCAAAGGTATTCCCACTGTGTTTTATTGGATTTTAGGCAAAGGCAAAGAAAACCTACATGCTGTAAGAGGTCCTCCCAGTCACTTCACTTACTAATCTAGCTGTAGAGGGTGTCGGCTAAACGCTCTTACTGTATTTGGTACGCTAATTTCAACA